GTTATGTGAGGTTGTAGCCCCCAACTGCAAGGATAAAAGACAATCATTTTGAAAAGCAACATTTACAATGAGGTACATGTAATAAAATTCAAGGTACACTGTATAATGAGAACAGTATTAACCAGTTCCCTTTCAAATAATTTATGATAAATGGCATCATCATAATTATGCTGATCAGTAAAATATTTTACCAAGTATGTTACATGACTTGTCTAGTATAAAACATATACATTGTTTATTGTAGTATTAAAAACGTACCAGACCTCTGGGTCAAGACTAGAGTCAGAAAGTTGTGAGCCATACATCATTAATTTACATGTACATTACAAGTTTAGAGAAAAAGTGTGTGCATTGTGTGATTCAAAGAAATATCCATACCCTCTGTGAGTCAAGGTGCTAGAAATCCCAAAGGAAGAGGGGGAAGGCTTACTGTACAAACCACAATATCCAGAGAATAAAATTAATCACAAAGGAGGGGACAGGGGGGCACTGAAACCAATTAAAACCAGAGATGGGAGGGGTTACTGGTCGGAGTGATTTACCATATACTTCTGGAAAAAGAATCAAAAATAAATATTTCTTACAGTTAAAACTATCAGAGAGTGGACCAGTTATTCTTCCTTGAGAGAATCTGATTGAGATTTACATACCTCCAACAAAATCCTTTGGAGGAGGCACAGTATTCCTTGAGAATTGTTGCCGGGCTTTATGGAGCTGTATTCAGTTAAAAAAAAAATAGTAACTTTGTGTGCTGTGGTAATCAACATAGTTATCAGCCAATCAGTGCCAAATACCACAAAGGACTTCAAGAAAAACTCTGACATTAATGTCTTTAAGATGTACAGTAGATAATAACTGAAATGTGCAGCACTTTGCTGTTAACTTCAATTCAAAAAGCCCTCTGGTCAGTAACTGTTTGTACGTAAATAGGAGAGAACATGGAAAACAAATATAACATATCGCTCGATGTATTAGTGAAGGCACTTTTATCAGAAACATATATTGAACCCTTTGACTCCTAGGAGTGTCACTGGAATCTAATTTCTCTTTACATTACTATCCCTGAATCAAACATTTAGATCACAAGATTTAGAATAAAGGGAATAACCAACAAATAAAAAAAGCTCTTGATCGTTAAACAAATTCTCCTTGTCAGAACTATAGTAAATGTATGGAGAACAGTATGGAGAATATGCATACTGGTGTTCTGGTGTAACTCAACAGATCAAAGAATCAGTAAAACTCACAGGAGCCTGATGATGTTTAACAGGTGATGGCTGGAGAGTGAGTTCTGCTGCAGGCTGTCCAGGGAAACAATTTGCCAGAGTTAGCCACTCAAAAGATTTAAAACATGTTTTAAAAAAATCACTGTAATCAGTTTAGCCTACATAACATACAGTGTATGACTATAACATGCAATGCAATTACTCAGAGTAGTTTATCAATAAGCAATTGAATTGTAGCTTGATGTTACAAGTCAGAGTTACTGTCATACTTACAGG